CCGAAAACTGAAAGCGAAAGAGAAAATCTAAACCGTGATTCTACAAGTTTTTTAAGTTTGCTAGTGAATCTACGTCATATATCGAAAACGTAGATAGTACTTCCACGAAAAAACATATCGAGTACTTCACCTAGATATATTTGTCATTTGTTTTTATTTATTAAGATAAACTCTAACATTCCAATAAATAATAAACAGCGCTTTAAATAAATTAGTTGCCAGTTGAGTACTACCAAATCTTTGTTATATACAACATAATAGTGACGTTATGAGTCTGAACATCTTATTTAAGCAAATCAAGTCTTTTTTTACCGATTATTCTCAAATTTTCTTTGAATTTCCACAAAATATCGTACTATTTTTTGCTGGTACCACTAAATGCAATAGTTTCTGTGTGACAGAATAATATCGCAACCGTATTCAATGAGTAGTGCCTGAGAACCAGCTTTTTTCATTTTACTGAAAAATCATTAATTCCTCAACCACATAGTAAAACTTTGAAGATTTAGTAGTCATAAAATCAAACAGCTGATTATGTTTAGCCAAAGTACTATACAGCACTAGCGATTCCTCCAATATCCCTAAATCGTTTATTCAGTACCACCACGGTACTGCTACAACTAAATTTGGTTTACAACAGTAAATTCTAACAGCACATAAGTCGATAATAACAACATAATCTATGCAGTCCAATTGTTGGCGGTACGATTCGCATAAAATGACTGTAGTACCTAGGTATTCTTAGAGAGTACTTCCATTAAAAAATATGTAGAATGTTTCACCTACAGAGTGTTTGTCATTTGCTTTTATTTATTAAGACAAACTCTAACATTTCAATAAATAATAAACAATGGTTTAAATAAAAATATTCACTAATTAGTTGCCAGTTGAGTACTACCAACGTTTTGTTATATACAACGTAACATTCATAGTGACGTTAGTGTGTTTGAACATCTTTTTTAAGCAAATAAATCTTTTTTAACCGATTATTCTCAAATTTTCTTTGAATTTATACAAGATATTTTACAACTTTCTGCTGGTACTACTCAAATGGAATTTTTTAACAAACAGAAGTACCACATCACATAAGGACCAATATTCTTCAACCAAGCGACGAAAAATTTGTCCTGACAATAAAATCGCAACCGTATTCAGTGAGTAGTACCTGAGAACCACTTTTTTTCATTTTATTGAACCACTAAATTCCAAATTTTATCAAGCACCTAGTAAAACTTTGAAACAGCTGATTGTGTTAGATGGTACTACCAAAGTACTCGCGATTCCTCCAATATCACAAAGTCATTTCTTCAGCAGTACCACCACGGTGCGGCTACAACTAAATGTGGTTTACAACAATAAATTCTAACAACACGTAAGTCGATAATAACAACATAAACCATGCAGTACCACTGTTCGCGGTGCGATTCGCATAAAACGACTGTAGTACCTAGGTATTTTTATGGAATACCCTGAAGCTGAAACTCGAAGAAAAAATAAGTTTTGAAAATCTAAATCGTTATTCTAAAAGTTTTTAATGTCTACTGGTGAATCTACGTAATGTATGAAAAATCTAGAGAGTACTTCCATTAAAAAATATATAGAATGTTTCACCTAAAGTGTGTTTGTGATTTGTTTTTATTTTTATTAAGACAAACTCTAACATTTCAATAAATAATAAACGACACTGTAAATAAAAATATTCTCAAATGAGTTGTCAGTTGATTAGTACCAATTATATACACTATAACAATAATAGTGACGTTAGTGTGTTTTACAAATTAAGTTTTTGTAACCGATTATTCTCAAAAAATTTCTTTGAATTTCGACAAAATATAGTACTACTCTTTTCTAGTACCACTCAAATGCGATACTTTGACAAATAGAAGTACCACATCACATCATATAAGTGCCAATATTTTTCAACCAAGCGACGAGAAAGCTGTCCTGACAGAATAAAATCGCAACTGATTATATTAGATGGTACTGCCAAAGCAGCACTCGCGATTCCTCCAATATTTTTAGGCCATTTCTTCAGCAGTACCACTACGGTACTACTACAACTAAATGTGGTTTTCGAATAGTAAATTCTAATACATAAGTCGCGGTGTCAATCGCATAAAACGGCTGTAGTACCTAGATATTTTCATGGAGTACCCTGAAGCTGAGACTGGAAGAGAAAATAAGTTCTGAAAATGTAAATCGTGATTCTAAAAGTTTTTAATGTTTACTGGTGAATCTACGTAATGTATGAAAAATGTAGAGAGTACTTCCATTAAAAAATATATAGAATGTTTCACCTAGAGAGTGTTTGTCATTAGTTTTTATTTGTTAAAACAAACTCTAACATTTCAATAAATAATAAACAACAATGTATATTTAAAAATATTCAAAAATTAGTTGTTAGTTGAATAGTACCAATTATATACAATATAACCATAATAGTGACGTTAGGGTGTTTAAACATTATATGTTATATAAAGTAAGTTTTTTTCACCGATTATTCTCGAAAATTTTCTTTGAATTTCTACAAAATATCGTACTATTTTTCTTGGTACTACTCAAGTGCAATAGTGTGCCAAATAGAAGTACCACATGATATAAGTGCCAATATTCTTCAAACAAGCGACGAAAAATCTGCCCTGACAGAATAAAATCGCAACCGTATTCCGTGATAGTACCTGAAGACCAGCTGATTCCAAATTCATCATCCACATAGTAAAACTTTAACGAATTAGTAGTCATAAAATCGAACAGCTGATTTGTTTAGCTGGTACTGCCAAAATACTATACAGCACTCGCAATTCCTCCAATATTTCTAAGTCATTTCTTCAGCAGTACCACCACGGTACTACTACAACTGAATGTGGTTTACAACAGTAAATTCCAACACATAAGACGATAATATCATCATAATCTATGCAGTACCATTGTTCGCGCTGCGATTCGCATAAGGCGACTGTAGTACCTAGGTTTTTTACGGAGTACCCTGAAGCTGAAACTGGAAGAAAATAAATTATGAAAATCTAAATTGTGATTCTAAAGTGTGTTTGTCATTTGTAAATAAAAATATTCACAAATTAGTTGTCAGTTGATTAGTACCAGTTATATATAATATAATAATAATAGTGACGTTAATGTGTTTAAATATCCTATGTTATATAAAATTTCTTTAAACCGATTCTTTGAATTTCCACAAAATATCGTACTATTTTTTGCTGGTAGGTACTACTCAAATGCAATAGTTTGCCAAATAGAAGTACAACATCATCTAGGTGTCAATAGTTTTCAACGGAGCGAAAAATCTCTTCTGACCATAAAATCGCAACCGTATTCAGTGAGTAGTACCTGGCGAGCAACTTTTTTTCATGTTCAACAGGTACTGCCAAAGTAAGTCGTTTCTTCAGCAGTACTACCACAGTACTGCTACACCCAAATGTGGCTTACAACAGTAAATTCTAACAACACAAGTTGATAATAACAACATAATCTATGCAGTACTATTGTCCGTGGCGCGTTTCGCATAAAACAGTCGTAATACCTAGGTATTTTTATGTAGTACCCTCAAACTCAAACTAAGAGAAAATAAATTATAGCTAAAATTTATATAAATCGTGGTACTAAAACATTTTTTTTGGGTGAGCCAACGTAAATATATAAAAACGCAGAGAGTACTTCCACTAAAAAAGTACACAATGTTTATTTAATGATTTTTTTGTGGTGTCATCAAATCTGTAGTGCGAATAAAATCTGTCGTCATAGTAGCAAATGGCGACCATGTTTGGTGAGTAGTACCCCAGAATTAGCTTTTTTTCATTTTCTAGAACCACGAAATTCCAAATTTTTAATTGCATAGTAAAACTGTGGGGTAATTAGTAGTCATAAAATCAAACGCCTGATCATGTTCAACCGGTACTGCCAAAGTACCATAGCAATCGCGATTCCTCGCCGCCAACAAAACCCTCTCCCATCCTCCATTCACATCCTCGTAAGTCTTTCCTTCGGGCATAGGGATGGGGAACTGTTACTTTTTTGAGGAACAGGAACAATTTGTTACTGTTCCATTTTAGGAACAGTTCCAAATAACAGTGATTCTGGAACAATTTGTTATTGCGTTTCCTAGGAAGAACACTTTCATCCCGTATACCTACTATGCGGCTCTGCTACAGATAAAACTGTTATTTGTTCTTTACGTACTCGTTATCGTTACGTTACGATTTTGGTCTTCGGATTTTGCCTTCGGAATCTGAAATTGTTACTTAAGATTTTTTTTGATTTAATATAAAAATTTAATAATTTTTATTTATAACCAACGTAGCCTGTAAGAGAAAATTGACGTTCCTATATGTTGTTTCTCGTTGCTGTTATCTAATTTCTTAGTTTACTATTTTATTGGAAAAAAAACTAAATTAAAAAATATATTAAATCTTGAATATTTTGTATCACTGCATCCAATTACAACAGTGCCTTTATTAAATAAAATTCTTTATTCCAAATAATTCTCTATTTTTTACCTTTCTGCTTATATGTATTATTATTTATTGTATTATTATATTATATATTTAAATTTATCATCGCAAATCGCTAGTTTCACTTATAAAACCAGTTTTGCGGACTTTTATTTTAAAGGAACAGATTTATCCCGAATAACTGTTATTTCGAATCTTCGATAACAACTTGTTCCTGTTCCACGTTGGTAACAGTTCCGAAATACCTGTTCCGTCAAATACTCCCCACCCCTATTCGGGCAGTACCACCGGTACTGCCACATCCAAACGTGCTGTGCAATAGTAAATCCTAGCAGCGTCGATAATAAAAATGTAACCTATGCATTAGTTATTGTTCGCTGCGCGGCTCCCATAAAACGGCCGTCGTACCTACGTATTTTTAGTGGAGCCTGCTGAAACCTGAAACTGAAACCGACACCGAAGTGTAGTACAAGCGACGGCCACGCGCGCAGGTAAACCTTACCTTTACCCTACCTAGAGCAGGTATGGCGGGTACACAGCCCACCGTTCAGTAACACGGAACGCGAGTACGAGTTTGCACGCGCTGTCTCCCAGCGAGCGTCCGTCGGAAGCAAGTGCCTAGATGTGAGCTGGAACGTCGTCAAGAGGTGTCGAATATGGCTCGCGCGGCGGACGGCGGCGGTACCAGTGATCGGGAATAGTGACGGCAGTGACACTAGTGTCAATGTAAACAGGAGGATTGTTTGCCTGCTAAATAGGCGAGCAAACACGGGTTTCTTAATCCGACTTTTGTACCAGCGCGTAGAATGTAGCAATCGAAACTGATAGATGAAGTGGTGATAAAGCTACAAAGACAGGTGATTCGTTACGTGATCGATTAAAAAATGGCCTCCGACGAAGATTGCAGTAGTACCTTTACGTACCCGTAAGTACCTTATTTATTTTGGTCAGGCGCTGCGAGGAATTCTCCGGCCTAACCTAAACCGCGACTCGGCAATTAAAGCCGTACCATTGTTTTGATTATTTCGTTCGATTGTTTCGTGGTACTGCCTTGACCTAGCTTCGCGAGGTGGGTTTGTGCACTATTTCGCGACGGTTTCTACCAAAAAACGATGCACTTTTCGGACGAGTATTGTATGGTAATACGGGATTTTTAGTACCCTTTCTACGCGGAACTGATTCCAAGAGATTTGCCGGCCTTTTGGGAACTAGCTTCCGAGCGGTACGTTTCCGGCCTTTCTTTAAGAGTAAACGGATCGGAGTGAGTACCTCAAGAATGCAGACGGCCGGGAATACAATAGGGAACGAATAATGGCACGGTTCTTGCATTTTTACTCACTTATAGAAAAGTACTAATAGTACCGATAGCGGCTCTAACGTTTTCCTAATTGCCTGTAGTACGTTTTCGCTTAGAAACGGCACTCGCTCGATTAATGCTAGAAATAACAAATGTCTAGAACAATAGGACAGGATTTAAACTATTTGGTCGATAAACAAAAAGACGTCGACTATTATTTTTACACAAATATTTGTTTTATAGTTTTTTGTTCATTCTTTCGGTTTCTACATTTCAAGTTATTTTACTGCTGCTTAAATTGACTCTGTTTAACATCTACAAACACAGTCCAAGTAGTACCAAAGTACTAGAGTTTGTCTACAAAAAAATAAAATTATAGAAATAAATATAAACTTGTCATCACTTTTTATGACCATTAATTGGATCTCATGTAACATGTTATAAACGTCAACTTGTAAGTACGACTTCAGAAAAAATATTTATAAGCGGGTACCACCAGCTGCTTGATTTTACATTTTTTTTTAAGTTTTTACAGAAGTTCTTTATTTAATTCAAATTGAGCTCTTAATTTGTACGATAATTTATCACATCTCTAAGTAGTACCCAATCAGTACTTTTATTGTATGTAAAGAAACACAGAAGGTGGGTCTAAAAAAATAAAAATACCCTATCTAATAAACAGAATGCTATGTTGAGACTCAGAGATTGTTTTTATGGTTACAAAGACGTTATTAATCAACGTCAATGCAACGTACGTTCACACGAAGAAATAACGTAGTTGTACTTAAATCACTTGATGTATTAGAAAATTCCAATTTCCTTATGACTTTATGTTTATTGTACAGTCAGTATTTATTTTAAATTAACGTACATTTTACATTACGGTACTGACGATAGATATAGCATATAGTTCTGGTTCTGAAATAGTATTTTTGACTAAAGTATTTTATTTAGTAGTTAACTTCGTAACGTGTTTATTGTTATAATTCTCACCTAAATAAACCTGTCAGAAAATCATCTGGTCAATGATCACTATTTCAGAACCGGAACTATAACCAAATTATAAAGGACACTTTCTCGAATTTAATTATGTTTAATAAACAACACTGACTGATCAATTTTTTCCATAAAAAATGTGTCATAAATTTATTAATTACCTATTTTTACGCCAACCTAAAAAAGTGCTGACATCATTTTTTAAAACTGTATTTTAATAATATTTCCTGACGTCAAAGCCACAACCTACGAATTAATTTGATTAAATCTATAAACGGTTATGAATTTGCATAAAATAGTTGTACCGTCCGAAAGCGCATGTAGATTTTGCCTTGAATTCAATTTCCCTAAAAAAAAAAGTCCAAAATTTTGGCAGCACTCCATTCAAAAAATATTTACTATAGATACAACCCAAAAATAGATCTCTTTGTCTTAATTGTGTTGACTCAGTCTTTCCGAAATATTTTTATTTTTCATGCTTTAATCCCAACGCACACATCGTTAATCGCGCAAATTCTGACGAAAGTCACATGAAGCCGTGACGTCCAAAGTAAAAACAAACACTAAAAGGTAAAATCATCAAAGACTTAACCAGAATTATCTAGGCAAACTTCGACAGCCGCAGCCCGCGGAAAAATCCACAAATAACCACCAAAGTTGAACGCTCGCCTCGAGTACCTCAAGTACCTGAAGTAACATTTATCGACGATTAGGAAATTTAGGTTTTCCGAAATTTTCCACGAGCCGAGATAACACCAAAGCAAACACATCAAGCTCTAAAACGCACAGAATTACGCCTAATCCCCAGGCTACAGTCCACGTTTACTCTCGCGACAGTACCACTTCACGTCACACTAAAAACTGGTGATTTTCGGAAAAAGGAAAACAGTAGCGGGCTTAAACTGGATTATGACTTGCGCCACTGCGTCACTATGCTGAAAACGAGATAATTCAATGACATATTGCGCAAAACGAAAACAGCAGAGGATTTAGAGAGGAGCCTTGGAGAACGCCACCCTATAGGAAAACCCGAAGCCTCGACGTAATTAAAGTCGCACTTAGACGACAACAACAGGATTTGTTAAACAATTTTTGACGAACGAGTGACAACTGGAATAGAATCGGTCCTCGTTTGAATTCTTGCGGGACGCTATCGTCTGGCTTTGGAGGGTAAAACCTCGCCAACAATCCGCGTTTCGCGTCATTCCTCGTCCTCCGGCCGGCAAAAAAAGTCCCAAAACCCGAAAACCTCTGAAAATTCCACACACTAAAACCGTCCGCCGCAAAAACTGGCAGCCGATAAGAGGACGGTTTTTCAAGAGAAATAATTCACATTAAAATGTATTCTCGGCAGTCGTCTCACGTGCACCATCCCAAGACTGCTCCGGTTTTTGTTTCAGACCCGGCTAACTGGGATGTCCTGAAAAGGCTTTAGCAGACCGTTTAGATTCGCGCCGTCGCATTGGTCAATAATTAAGACATTTGCTGCACGATATCACGTTTAAATCAACCGGCAAGTATGTTAATGGACGGTGCTTAACCCGAGGGGGGAGATGGTTTTTCGCAATTATTTGCGGCATTTCATCTATGTCGAGAGATGGTTCGAAACTGACGCGGGGAAAAACGGTTAAGAGTGTGCTTATGTCTTCGGATGGGAAGTGAAAAAGGTTGATGTATGACAAACGAGTTTCGATTTGTTGCCACCGATGAGGAGAATGATCAATATCGTGGATCAATGATCAATTTCTTCCAGGGAAATTGATCGAAATTGCGACTGGTCATTAGCTTGCATGGAGATGATTGAGACGTTCAAAGAAAAAAACGTCGCTATAGCAAACACTAATCAAGTCAATTTCTGAGGTTGTACAGTTTAATCAAGCCTGGAAATGATCATCATTTTCTGAACGGTTATTTTAAAAATGCGAGTGCTATATAAATAGAGACAATTTGATCAAAACATCTTTGTTAATAATCCCGCAGTATTAAGACTGTTTTAAGAAGATAAAAATATATTAATGTTGTTTAAAAAAAGATATCAAAATCTTGAAATCATTTTATTATTATCAGAGTGGGTTGGGTCATTTATATTTATCTTCAGTCTATTTTAACACCAGTGCTACTGATCATTTTCAAAAACGAACTCAAAGTAAAATAAATTCGTTTATCGCAACAACTCAAACTATTGATGGAAAAATTTTTCCTTTAATTAAATTAAAAAAAAAAATGCTTTCTTAGTGTGGAAAGAATGTTGCGTTGATTTTCTTTCTCGTAATTATCGCCTAGTGTAGAATAAAATTTATTTGGTTAATTTGACACTTCGCCAAATGGTTCCTACGCTAGACATTTGCATTTTGGAACGTACGAATAGACATTGTTTAGACACGGAAATTCCATTCTGGTACCATTTTACAAGAGAAACTTTCTGCTCTGTTGTGTAATGCTCAATAACTTTCGTTAAATTAAACTAACAATGATTTTTTTATTTCGCTATATTCATGAAATGATCGAAGAAAAAAAGAAGAGGGGTTTAAACGCGTGTTATAAGTATTTTTTCACGTGTAACTGTAGAAAAAATAGCCTATGTATCACAAACGCAAAATCTCTTTGTTACTCTTGAGAAATTGTCGTCTCGAGCGACGGCAGTGCGTCACTTTTGGATCTCTTGTTGCGGCGTATGAAAGAATAAAGCTTTAGAAAATCACCATTAACATTTAAAAAGAGCCATGCGAAATATTTAGTTAGTTCTCTAGGGTTTAAAATTGCGGATTACTACACCGGAGAATTTATTTAGTTAATTCGTTGAATAGATCCTGTGGTCTTTTTAAATATATTATTTAGCGATTATTTTTTAAATAAATGAAATAAATTTCACAAAATTAAAGTCCCAAACCATCAACCGTCCAATATATTAACTAAATTTTATTTTAATTTTAAACTAAACCGCAAGAAACAGAAAAATTAAAAGAGTGAGTAATAGTTCTCAAAATGGTTAGAATGTGAGCACAATGAAAACCATAGTTTTAAAATTTCGATAATGCGCTGGGTTATTTTCTTGTGTTCTAGAAAAAATAGTGTGTGTATAACAAGTCAAAATATCTTTGTAGCGTCGCGTCGCACGTGGTGGTAAACTTTTTTCCTCTCTTATTAGTCGATTCTCCCTTATAACAGTCATAGAAAAAATAAGGACGAATCTAGTATAGTAAAGCTCATTTTCAAATTCACTTCCACAAAAAAAAATGTTTGTTTTAGTACTTGTGATAATGAAAATAGAAAACTATTTTAGTTAACAATTACCATTTCAAAATTTAAATATGCGTTTCGTGAGTCTTGTATGACAATTTTGTGCCATCGGAAACGTTTTGGTTTAGAGTTGGCTAAATAACAGTACTGATGAATTTTTGGAAACTAATTAAAATCAGCTCACGAATTTAACAAATATGTTACAATTATCATAACAACTTTAATAATAGTGCTAAAAATACTTCGTCAAATTGCAGTCGCAGATAACAGTCTAGAGGACAAAATATAAGTGTCGTTAACAGCGATAAAATTCGAAAGATTTTTATAAACCACAAGTTTTGATTTGATCTTTTTGGATATGATCAGTGTTCTTAAGTAATTTTAATTTGTTTGTTAAAATTCATTCCATTCGTCTTCCACAATCTAGAACCGTCGTCACAGCTGAAGGTGCCATTTGGAATTTTATCAAAGGTTAATAAAGATGGTTATTAATTACCTGCAATGATTGTTTGAAAATTTCCTAATTAATAAAGGATTCTTAATAAACTAGCTCTCGTAAATCTGTCAATCAGAATCTGAAAAGTGTATAACTGGTGGAAAATTGACTTAGAATTGAATACGTTATCTTGAAAAGGCACAATGGAGTTGACGATTGGGAATGCCGTAAGATGGTACTAAAACGGTTTTCGTACTACTTTTGAAATTGAGGTACCACAAAGCGTAAGATTAATCTAGAAATAGTACTAAATGTCTCAGGTTACGAATTATACAAATATCACGTTTTGAGTGGCACCCTGGCGCTAAACGACGACAAGTACTACCGAAATCCAAAATATACGTTTCGCCTTTCCACTCAGATTAGCATATCACCATCTTGATACAGCAATAATCTTAATCATTAAAAGTTACACAATATTTTATCTCTAAAATGTGGTATTTGCTTGTAATTTCTAAAACCTGATTGATTACAAAAAACCAGTCGTGGAGGCAAAGTTCCGTCGCTGGTACCACGTACCGCTGAATAAACACAAAAACTGGTAAAGAACACATAAAGATAATTAGCAGGTTCACAAGTTCTCAAAAATACAAAGTATTAAATTTAATTACAGCCTGCGGTACCATCAATATCGTAACTGATGGTTAAGTCGTACCATAAAACAACAAGATCATTCATCAAAATTCCGAAACATTTTTGCTGTGTCGTCATGTTTCTGCCAGCGGAATGTCTATCTTATCAGGCGCAGTTTCCGACAGGTGTTGGTGTAAACTACCGAAACGTCGCCACTTAAAAAATCTACTACAATGATAAAACACACATTACTAATAATTACTCTATCCAGAGCCATAGGCAATAACACATATTTTATGTAACGGTTATCTTGATTTAAAGCAGCAATTTACGATCCAATTTAATTTAATTACAATTGTATAATTGTGCAATAATTTACATTAAAGCCATTTTATAACGTTCTGATATTAAGAAAGCCGGGTTTTTTGCGAACGTACGGTTAGTAGGTACCACCACGAAAAAATCACCCTGATAACTCAAGTGTGGAATTAATTTATCCGTTGCGAGTTGTAACAGAAAAAAATAGTGTTCGAAGTACGACGACGTCGCTTTATCGCGAAATCAAATAGTACTTAATTGGCGAATTAATCGAATTAGAGAAAAAAAATCATTATCAAGGTGATAATGACGTCAAGAGTTTCACAACGGACGTCGAGAGGATTACAAACAAGTAGAAAGGAAAATATTTTCAAAGACGACAAAGTAGTACCGTCGCGGAATCATTCAGAAAACAGAACGAGTACCCCCAAGCGAGAATAACTTTACATGATATCTAATCTTTAATTAGAATAATAACGGTTATCATTTGACGAGTCAGATCTAAAACGTACTTCTCCTAGAACTAACGTTTATCTCGCCGTAGTAGGTGGTACTGTTCTCAGAATTGGTACTTTGAAATCTTATTTATGCATACTGATGCATCTGATTTACCAGTTAAGTGTAATCAACATCACTCAATTAAGTTGAGTGTTTTACGACACGTGCTTATCACCGTATTTTTTTATTGATTACCTTTCCGATAAACAGAATTTCAAAATATTTGTTAGTACCGTCTTGGTTTAGAAATATCGTCAGTTGACCTGTGAGCTTAGAAAATGGGACGAACGCTGTGAGATCACGTAAGTGCTAGAATAAACATCTACATCGGAATTATTATGGTGGTACGTAGGTTTACAGGTGGTACCTAATGACGCTGCACTAAAAATGTTAGCACTTTATTAAAACGTACTAATTCCCTCACTTTCTATATTCCAGGATAATGGACGACGCGACCTCGTCTCCCACAACCGCCAACCACTACACCAACTGCCTCTCCCCATCCAGCTCCCCTTCGCCCCTGCTCCCGCCGCAGTACCAGCTCACCCCCCGGTACGACTACCAGGACCAGGATATGATCCCTGCGTCCCAGGTGCTGCCCCAGGTCCTGCCCAAGACCCAGGAGATGTGGGGCGACATGAACCAAGGCATCTACGCCGACTACCGGTACGACACCACCCGATTCAGTGGTGCCGACTACATCCGGCCGAGTTACGCGGAAACTATGCCCGTGTTCTCACAAGCAAGGACTAATTTCGTGCCGAAAATTGGTGCTCAGGGACAAAAAGTGCCCAAGGAGGCGAGGATAAGGAGACCCATGAACGCCTTCATGGTCTGGGCGAAGGTGGAGAGGAAGAAGTTGGCAGACGAGAATCCGGACTTGCACAACGCTGATCTCAGCAAGATGTTGGGTGAGTAGTACTGGTTGTAGTTTAGGGGGAAAAGTTTTTTGGGTTCTTGGGGGGTAATGGTACCATCGCGGGTGAACTTTATGCTTGTGAGTAATAGTCATAGTTACGTGCTTTCTTCGAAAATTAGAGATATTAGTCACGTTATCACCACAAAAATGGAATGACGTCATCGGTTTCTCTAGGGGAGCAAATATAGTAATCTTGAAGACTATTTGTTTGAAAACTTTCACCAGATAGACGCCTACTGTGATTAACATCTTCATATTTTATAACCTGTGAGGTACCAAGAAACCGTGAAATGAGATATTTTTATAGTACTTCCTTGGCCATAGCTGGAGTTGCACATGCAAGTACACAATTCGAAGTTATATTCTTCACCCATGCACGTACTATCAAAGATAGGTACTACCCGACAAACTTTAAGCGATTTATTTTATGGCACTGTTGTTAGTGTGTAGTACAAACAACAAACACGGGTACTATTTCCACACTACAGCATTATGTCCACCCACGGATCGCTCTATTTGGTGGTAGTACCACCCTTTGCTCGCGTCGCGGCGGTGCCAGCCACCCCCTTCCCGCCTCAGCCCACGACTCGCGAGCGCGTGCGACGTCGCGTCGGTACGGGTCGTACCTCGGCCGGCAAGATTTGTGCATCTCATTAGCCATGGATTAATGGGGTTTTGGCTCAAGTACCGGTCGGCCTGCCCTCACCGCTCATTGGATACGGTCTGGCATCGACCGGCCGGCCAGCCAATCCACGCCACTCTCCAATTATTCCCCTTTATTTTGTTTTAAGGTCATCCGGCATAGAAAATGGCTGAATGACTTGTTTATATCTAATGATAGGACGCGGACGCGTTGGGTTATCGGTCGATTCGTCGATTCCATTATCGGCCTGGCGACCGTATGCATGGGTTTTATTGCCGACACCGCGACCCATAAGAATTATGGTGTGGCGAGGCGGTGACGTGTGATGAAAAATAAAAGCTGCATTTGACGCCGGTCGAGGCGACAGCGAGATCGGACGGAAGGCGAAAATGTCGAAATGGACGAGTGATGGGTGTGGATCCGGTGATGGGCTCATGACCCATGAACGAGTCTAGTGGGGCAAAAATCGGTGGAGGTTGGAAATTATGACGGTTTGGTCGGGTTGGCTGTGGTTTGCGCTTCGTTGCGATGAGGGGCTGGATTAAATAAATTTTCTCCGATTCCTTATTTTGAAAAGGTGGCAAATATTGTAGTGTTAATCTTAGGCAACTTGATGAAACTATAAAAGTCGCTTTGGGTGCGAAAAGACCTGTTTAGTAGTTTTTTTTAACCACACAATCGCTAATCTACATGTTTCATTACAAAACAAAAAATTGTTACCAATGAGCCAACCGAGTAATTTGTAGATAAACCTTTTAAAACGGTAGTTCATAAGTTTTTCAGTTCATTGTGGTATATTGTGCATATAAATATGGTTTTTGTTCCATGGTAATTGTGGCTAACTTGTCTTGGTTATTTTACAACCACTCCCAACTATTTTTTCATAAGACTAGCCATCTTGATATAATAATGTCATTATTTTAAAACCTTTCGTTTACAGATATAAAGCAAACTCTAAGGTGTGTACGTAACCATAAAAAATAAATTTTTGACTTATAACACAATATTCTTTCGGGCCAGAGAATTTTCGCGGCACCACAAATGTTCAACTGTGCGCTAAATGGATAATTTGATTAATTTTGGAAAATTACAGCCAATTTTTAGCAAGTCAAACTAAGAACCTTAGGGTCCTGATAACAGAGAACAGTCATCATATTTTTGTTAATAAAGATGCAATTTTTTTTATTACCACTAATATACAGGGTGTCACTGAGCACGCTTTTCGAGCAGCATACAACAAAATTATTTTCAATTATAAGTAGTACACAGTGTGTTGTTTCCACATCATAGTCTATTTTTGAAATTCCAGTGCAACGTTGTCACGATATTTAATTTTTTTGATTTTTTTGACAATGCAAGGGTTGACAAAAAAATGCAATAACGTTATTTTCAAGATCTGTGTTGCAATATTTTATGGAAGAGATAAACCAAGGTGCGGGTTTTAATGAAAATTTTAATATACAGGTTGGTTATAAAAAATAACTACACAATTTTCATATATCGATGTTTCTGTTTTTTATTGCAGCCTCTTACTCTATTTTTTGTTTTCTCTCTTTTAATACAGAAAATACTTACCAAAAGAAAAGAATAAAGAACTAAATAAGATGCACTAATTAAAAACAACGTGTTCTTTGTGAAAAAACTGAAATACATATCAATATTTTGAAACTGTTATAAGTTATTTATTTTTTATAAACACTCTGTACATTTAAACAAAGTTTTATTTAGACCACAACAAAGTATGTATCTTTATTTATCTTTTTTCGTGAACTGTTCCATTGCTAAACAAATTCTAGAAAAATGGAATAAGTTGGCAACGTCGCATCGAATTTTGAAAAATAAACTATGGTTCTAAAGCTTAAGAAAAGGTGAATCAGAATATATAAAAATATATAGAGAACTCTACGCCTTAAAAACAGAACACTTTGTATGTTTGAAAATAATTGTAGTATATATTCCTTAAAGAACTGTACAACTTTACTATAAACTTTGTTTCCTATTTCTAATAATTATAATGAGACATCGAAGAGCGGACGCTGAGTAACTCACCCTGTATATTGTGAAGTTCTATATGGGAATACAAAATTTAAAAACTGTGAGAAAGGCAAAATCTAAAATCACCCGATAAAATTTTTGGTTTTCCAAAATACTTCATTTTGAAAACTCTCTGTATAATTGGGGTGGAACACTCTGTATGTGGAATCTCTGTCTCCACTCAAAATTCAAAAGCATAATCTGTTGGTATAATCACACAAGAAAAAATACTCGAAAAGGAATCGATAAACAATCTACTTGTAATATCTGAACAATAAATTTTTATATACAGAGTGGCTAATTATTTATTTTCATTTGATTTTAATTATTCGGTTAAAACTTGCACTGTTTATGGCAGCTAATAAATAAATAATCCATGAAACTGTTTTGAAGATTATTCTGGAAAGAATGAAATATATCATTTTGGAAATTTTTAAAAAGCTCTATTATTTTGAAAAAAAAAAACAAAATTTTCTCTATTGTATTTGTATTTTTTTCGCCAGTATAAATTTTATTTTTTTTTTGCTTAGCCCTAGAAGTAAAACTGTGTGCTTAAGGATTGAACTAAAGTAAACTCCAACTCAGTTCATAAAATTAATTAATTAACAATGTTCAACATTCAACAAAAAAAAAAATGGATCTCTCCTATTTCTAAAATAAAATAAAATTGTAATATTTGGGCAATTAGTTTGGAGAATTTTTATCGAAAAATGTGGATAATGTTAAATTTTTACAAGCAGTTTTTGGTTTGCCAAAATATATATACTTAATTTTGAAAAATCTCTGTATAATTGAGTTGGAACACTCTGTATGTGGAATCTCTGCCTCCACTCAAAATTCAAAAGCGTAATCTGTTGGTATAATCACACAAGGAAAAATACTCAAAAAGGAATCGATAAACAATCTACTTGTAATATCTGAACAATAACTTTTTATATACAGGGTGGCTAATTATTTATTTTCATTCGATTTTAATTATTCGGTTAAAACTTGCACTGTTTATGGCAGCTAATAAATAAATAATCCATGAAACTGTTTTGAAGATTATTCTGAAAAGAATGAAATTGTCATTTTGGAAATTTTTAAAAAGCTCTATTATTTTGAAAAAAAAAACAAATTTTTCTCTTTTGTATTTGTATTTTTTTCGCCAGTATAAATTTTATTTTTTTTCTTCTTAGCCCTAGAAGTAACACTGTGTGCTTAAGGATTGAACTAAAGTAAATTCCAACTCAGTTCATAAAATTTATTAATTAACAATGTTCAACATTCAACGAAAAAAAAATGGTTCTCTCGAATTTCTAAAATAAAAAAAAATTTGTAATATCTGAGCAATTATTTTAGAGAATTTTTATGGAAAAATGTGGATAATGTTAAATTTTTACAAATAGTTTTTGGTTTTCCAAAATATATATACTTAATTTTGAAAAATCTCTGTATAATTGAGTTGGAATACTCTGTATGTGGAATCTCTGCCTCCACTCAAAATTCAAAAGCATAATCTGTTGGTATAATCACACAAGAACAAATACTCGAAAAGGAATCGATAAACAATCTACTTGTAATATCTGAACAATAACTTTTCGTATACAGGGTGGCTAATTATTTATTTTCATTCGATTTTCATTATTCGGTTAAAACTTGCACTGTTTATTGCAACTAATAAATAAATAATCCATGAAACTGTTTTGAAGATTATTCTGAAAAGAATGAAATGTCATTTTGGAAATTTTTAAAAAGTTCTATTATTTTGAAACAAAAAAAAAATTTCTCTATTGTATTTATATTTTTTCGCCAGTATAAATTTTATTCTTTTTCTGCTTAACCCTAGAAGTAAAACTGTGTGCTTAAGGATTGAACTAAAGTAAACTCCAACTCAGTTCATAAATTTAATTAATTAACAATGTTCAACATTGAACAAAAAAAAATGGATCTCTCGAATTTTTAAAATAAAATAAAATTTGTAATATCTGAGCAATTATTTTGGAGAATTTTTATGGAAAAATGTGGATAATTTTAAATTTTTACAAGTAGTTTTTGGTTTTCCAAAATATATATACTTAATTTTGAAAAATCTGTATAATTGAGTTGGAACACTCTGTATGTGGAATCTCTGCCTCCACTCAAAATTCAAAAGCATAATCTGTTGATATAATCACACAAGAAAAAATACTCAAAAAGGAATCGATAAAAAATCTACTTGTAATATCTGAACAATAACTTTTCGTATACAGGGTGACTAATTATTTATTTTCATTCGATTTTCATTATTCGGTTAAAACTTGCAGTGTTTATTGCAACTAATAAATAAATAATCC